TTAGCACTATTCATCCAAAAAGTTTGAAGAACACATTTGGAGTTATTTTTGAGAAAATCTTGTTTTTAATTTTTTAACTATTGCATTTATTTCACTCAAAATTTCTCAAAAACAACTAGAATTTTGAAAAATGAACATGATATTGTGGAGTAATCATTGTAGAGAATTTTACTTAAAGAAAAAGTCTCTATCTTCAATATTATGTTGTTAAAAACAGAAAACGAAAAAAATTAAACTTTTGGAATTTTCAAAGTTTTAGGGGAAACAGTGGAAATCGGATTTCATCTTTATAAGAGCGTTTTACTATATTATTAAAGACAAAAGATTTAAGAAAAAATTGAGGCCATTTTTGGAAAAATTTGGACATGTACATTTTCAAGAGAGAAAGAAACTACGAACGGTGTATGCGGCAGTGTAGTTCACGAATGGTGGGATTTTTGAAGGGAAAAAGCTTTTTCCGTACTAGGGTACACTAAAACATGTATTTCCGTTAAAATCTTGAAATTGATTTTCCACAGTATTACATATTACGTACGTGTACGTGTACGAGAAAGTAAAACCAATACGGAAAATAGCCGGCAGATCTCAGCGGTGCAACAAGAGCTATCGTACGGCAGAATCACGAACTATCTACGATCGCAGCGCCTCTATGTGCAATCGTTCTTACTACATTCAAGGGAAACACGAGGGCAAAGAACACGAGTATGCGACAGGCAAATACACGGAACCAATTATTATTTTGTCGGTCGAACGACAAAATTAATTACAAAACACAAACAGTACACCCAAAAACAATATCAATGTTTTTGGTATAATTCTATAAATATTTCGTGCTGAAAATCTTTTACTTATTTTACAAACACACCATAAATATTTTCGCAACATATACAATCTATATTAAGAACTTTCAATGAACAGAAATTGATAGAAATCAACCATGACCATGTGAAGGGTCAATTCGACCATGTGAAGGGTGTCTATGGTTTCGACAGATACCCAGGAAATCGAGGGGCAATCCAAAAGCATCTACGTTATTAATTTCGTTTGCGCGCAGAAATTGAGAAAAGTAAATTAAAGTAAAGTTTATGGCCATTTGAGATGTGTCTAGAGTTTTGTTAAATACTCAGGAAAAATAAAAAAAAACGATTTTCGATTTGGTCTGAAAAATGTAAATATTTTATTAGTTATTCTATTCTTATACTGCGCACATCGGCTGAATTATTATTCTCAATTCGCCACTGCTCACCGCTCACTGCTCAATTTGTCACTGACGTCATGCGACAGCAAAGCTCATGTAGGAGGTCACCCAACATGAAATAGTAGTTGCTCTTTAAATTTTTATGGACAGGTTACTTATTTGATATTTCTTGTTTTCAAGCATTATTTATATAGGTATAGTAAAGAACTCTTCAACTGTAAACATACAGTGTTTTTGCACTAATTGAGAAGATTGGTTCACTATTAAAATTTTCAATAAATGGAAATGTTACAAGAGACTTTTTTTATAGGCAGAGTGTGCACTGCTTTTTGAAAAAAAAATTTTGTGTGGTTATTCAGCAGCATTTTGCTACAGCAGGGGAGTTGCAGGGGCCATGATGTTCCCAGTACCTCACTGAAATAACTTTAAGAGATACATTCACGGTTGACTTCTATAGAGCTTTAGGATTCAAGATTTCAATTATAGGTCATTATTTGAGCATGGAAGTTTGGCAAAATGCTTTTTCATTGTTGTAACAAGTTTATTACTTAACAATAGGAATCACTTTATTCTACTTCTGGAGTAGTTTTAGCAAATTTTTATTTTGCCTTATTTTCCGAATCCTGTTTTTGTCATTTTGCTTTTTTTCTATTTTTTATTCTTTACTTTGCTTTTTTCCTCTGGCACCAATCTCAAACAAGTGGGAAACATGTCTGCAAGCCTGCGCACCATGAAGACATGGTTGTGTTTTGTCTCCTGCTGTGGAAGCAGATGCTTTAGATTTTTAACACTACGTGATCCTAAACGAAAAAGGAAGATAAAACCTGTCAAGATATTTGATTTTTTCATTGATGCCTATGGGCTTTTTTTGTTCACAAGGAACCCTACCCTACTTTCAGTGGATTCCGATCCCTTTTGAGGACAGTGTAGTATATGATATAACCTTTTGAGTGCTGTCATTTAACCAGAGTGACAAAACGAAAAGTATCATTCTGTTTTCACCGATGTTTCCCACAGACAGCGTCATTTAATAAATTAAAATACATTTGTAGGCATCTTTTCAAATGGTCATTTTGAATTATGACTAGAAAGAAAATATATTTTCCTGACATGTAACTGCTGATGTAAATTTTTGAGTTAGAATAAAAATGTGATTATTCATTGTTTATCAGCCATTTTTTTCACCCCTACTTTAGCCAGATTAAAGACCTTTTTGCATTTTAGTAAAAATAAATGCCTTTTTCACCGGGCTATTTCACATAAAATACTTGCAAATTCCCGAACTTCTAGGCTCTAGACATTATAATGTATGCTTTGATTCAGTAATTTCAAATTAGTATGGGGAAGATCCATTTGATCGCCCAAAGTATCTAGCGAAGTAAAATCGTTATTTTAACTTCCCCAAGGCAAAATTACTTCAAATATTTTCAACAGTTATTCCACACACATGCGTCCATCCACAAGGACAGGCCCGAGATGTCAATTATGGTGAAAATCCTCTTTACCGTTTAGCTGCTAGAGTTATAAACTGATGGGCATTTTGTGGTAAACCAATTTTTTAGCATTAAGGAACCACAAAATGGATTGTGACTTCACAATGTGATAGAGGCAGTAATTTATTACATACAGGGTCAAGAATTATCCATTTTTAAATTTATTTTTTTGGTTTTAGAACATACAATACCATTTTTTCTCACAAAAAAAAAATTGACGTATTTTCCGCAATACTACAGAACTTTCTTTACACTATATAAATAGCATGAAAGTAAAAATACATGTAATTTTAGAAAAATTCTTTGAACTAATTAAATTTTCTGAATGTCGACTGAAATGTAAGAAGCTACAAAAACTTTGTTAAAATTCCTACATAAACAGGTGAAAACAGCTATTAATTCTAATGTCAATAACTTCTGGAGATTTGTTAATAATCGTAATGAGTGAGACAGGTACACTTTCAACTGCCTTGTACAAAATGTCTGATCCAAAAATTCTATTCATCAGGCTGGGCTTTGAGCTGATGTTTTGCAGTCTACATTTTGCACTGAGGACAGCATAATGGTAACTGATCATCTGCAATCAGAGTCAGGAGGCTCATAGCTATCTGGATTCATTGGTGATATCTATAATAGATTTTTATGAGGTCAGTTTATGAAGCTGGATGACAGTAAGTGAGTTGGTCCTGATGGTGTGCCGAATGTCATGTCATCAGTTAACACACCCATTATGGTTGATCTTTCAGAAGTCTCTTCAACAACCAACATTTCCACAAATTTGGATATGGAGTAAATTCATGCCCCTTTTTAAAAAGGGTAATAAATTCAATGTCGAAAACTAATTTCCTATTTCCATTTTGAATGTTGTTGCAAAATTTAGTTGCTAACCACCTATCTAGAGTACTGAAATCTGTCATCAAGAACCAACATTGTTTTTTTATGCAAGGAAAATCCACGTGCAACCACATTGGTATTATATAGATATTACATCTTGATAGAAATGGAAAAGGGAAACCAGATGGATGCAATCTACATGGACTTTAGATAGGCATTAGAGAAGACAAAACAAAATCTTAATTACTAATCTGGATAACTTGGAATTAAACATGCAATTAGTTGGTCAGATGAAAAATTATTTGTGTGACAGATATTAGGCTGTTTTTGTGGATGATCGGTTGTTACAATTTTATGAAACTCCATCTGATGTTCCACAAGGATCATACTTGGAGCCTTGCTGGTTTAATATTTTTATCAACGATCTTGTTAACTGTATTTTGAATTCCAACTTTCTGCTTTTTGCTGATAACAAGATCTTTATGAGCATGAAATCTGTGGTGGACTCCAAAAAGCTACAATGTGATTTAGATAATTTTAATAACTAGTGTACCAGTGATAAAATAGTCTTGAACATTCAAAAATGTTCACAAATCACCTTCTCTCAAAGACAACAACACCCCATCACTTTTCAATATGGACTGAATGGGATAGAACTGTGGTTAACAGCATTGTTGATCTAGGAATCATATTTGATACCAAATAAATTTTTAATCAACATGTTGATAGAGAAGCTTCAAGAAAGTAGGGCTATGCTTGGGTGGGCAGAGTTTTCAGATATGTTGTATCTATTACTTTATTGTTGGCAACTTTAATAAGACCTTTACTAGAATTTAGAACCCATCTACATCCAAGCTAAAATCTTGCCTTGAACATATACAAGACAAATACTTGTTTTTAGTATTCAAAGCAAGAAGAGACATGGATAGACGTTCGCATGACTATTCATTCGCATTCGAGATGTTGAACCAAAAGCTTCTTCTTGAGCACAGGCACAGCATGAATGATCTGAAATTCTTTATTTTAACTTGTCCAAGGACTTACAGATTGCCTTCAGATTCTTGAAATTTTTTATCTAAATATGCCAATAAGTTCCTTGAGAACTCACAAGGTTTTTAGAGTTGCGCCATCTAAAAGGAAGTATTTGGCAAATGACACCTTCATCAGATTGCCAACGTTGGCAAATGAGTATGCGAACTAGATAGATTACTTCAATGACTCATTGGATTCTTTAAAAACGAGTTGTTGTGTCAGATGGAATAGGGTAATATGTTACATTATTGGGATTACTTTAGTTTTTTAATATTTTTTATCATTTTCACCACATGCTTATAGTTAATTTTAATTGATAGTGTAATTTGATCTGTGTCAACATTTTTTCTTTAATTTATATTTGAAATACTTTCGTAAATGGGAGAAAATCTCGTGTTGTTCAAAATTCATAAATAATAAATAAATATAATTAATTTACTCACCGTAAGCCTATGAAGCAACAAGTCCAATACTGTACTGATTTTGTTGCTAAGGAGAACATATTTGCAGTTTGCAGTATTTTCTTTGCAGGCCAGACTGTAAGTGTTACAGGTTGTAACAAAGCACCTGTCATGAAAAAAAATTACTGTAAGCAAAGTTATAAAACTTTTTCAATACAAAGATCACACAACAAATAAATAAAACACATTTTAGATCCATAATTAATATCTTGCAATAATTTTCTTTGTACACAAAGCAAATTCCATATGAGTTGGAGAGGGGAATGTTCTGTCCCCTTGGACCCAGACATACTGCAATAGAATTTTTTTTATCTTTAGAAATAAAAAATTATGTAATTTGTTATTAATGAAATTCCAGAATGGTCAAAACTTATAATGATTGTAATGATGGCACCTAACATCAATAAACCACCCAATCAGTCTAGTAGCATTTAATTACCATTGCGGAATTTCGGTTAATTACAATCATATGAACGGTAAATGTATGTTTGTATTGTGAAATCGCAATTCAGTTATCATCATTTCAGAAAGAAGTATTACAAAGGACAACCGCTAAAAGAATAACAGGAAATCTGAATGGAAGACACAGGATATATCAATATCATACTTCAGCATTTTGGTGAAATGAGCCATTATGATATCAATGTCCTGGAAAGCTCCATTAGAGTGACAGAATGCAGAAAAATTGAAGCCAATCTGCTTTATTTTTGTATGGAGAACCAACAGACAGACAAACTTTCAGATAATGTTGCTGTGACAATAAATGATAACCATTTTCCATATATTTTTAAACAAATATTTTGCAACAATGTTTAAATTTTCTTATGAAATAGGACTCAAAAAACAATAGGAATTGGACCTTCTTTGATACATCTGTTACATATTGATAAATATCCAAGGAATGTATATTTTTGAGCATGGAGTTTGAAGATGAATTTGCAGAAGAAAGTTGCATAATTTGCAGTGTAGGGTTTTTCAGACAATTATAATATCTAGATAATAATTAGAAATGCTACAATGTCAAGTAACGAAGAGTTCACTTTTCTCTCTTATTTTTATCTTCATAATGTTCTCAATAATACATAATGTTCTCAACAATACAATCAAGGAAGGATTCTTATTCAAGATTACTTTGTATTTAACATTTTGTCATTAGTATTGCATAATGATAGCAGATTTGTCAAACAAACCATCCAGTTCAGACAGCAAGAACAGAATGAAGTTAAAACAACTTGCAAAAGTTGATGGCCTGATTGTGTACAATGTTTCCAAATCATACTAGACCAAAGACAAAACTTTACCTGTAGACCAGTCTTCAAATGCTATGCAAATGCCTGTTATGTAAGAACATTAAATAAATAGAAAATATGATAATAAGAGCACTTACTTTTGAGGAAGGTAAGGAGCCATGTTTGGTGGAACGTCCAGAGCCAAACTTAAAATATTGGATAGAACCGTAAAACCATTAAGTGCTTGAAATGCCAACTGATCCATTGCATTCTGAAACCAAGAAAAGTGGATTCTTGTCACAAATTCGACGGACATAGTAAATATAGTACTGATATAGTAACACATAAAACACAGGGACACCCAGTAATGATAGAGTATCAATAATAAAAACATCAATGTTATCAAAAATCAAGATTCAAATCACAATGTTAACCAATTTCCTACCACATCCTCATCAGGGGATCTAAGTTTTATATTCAGTACTTGCTAGAAGCAGGGATGGCAGGATTTTGAGAAGGATCATTGAAGATTTTTGTTAAATAATAAACATTTAAATTATAGGGTATAGTGTTACTGTTCTGTATATATACTATAAAATATTACTGTTTAAGCAATTATAAAATTGGAACATAAATGAATGTTTAAATCAATTCTGCCAAATAATGGAAGGTAAACAAACACCCTAGGCCTTTTGGGAGGGCCATGGGGGCCAATTTTAGTGAAAATGACAATATTTAAGAGGAAATAAAAAATAAAAATATGGTAGGTAATGGGTTAATAATACATCAGCCGAAAACAACCAATGTTTTTTAACATTAAATTCACATGATAAAAAAACTTGTGTTAGTGGCCTTGTTTACTAATTTATAATTAATTCTTAACTAAAAAAAGTTAAATAGTAATCATAAGAACAAAGGACAAAACTGCATGAAAGCTTGAGGATCCAAGGTCAATTGGTGCGATAAAGGGCAGGGGGAAAGGGAAAGGGAAAGGGCAGGGGGAAAGGGAAAGGGAAAGGGCAGGGGGAAAG